TCTGTTGGCCCCCAAATTTTAGACCATCACTAGTAGAAGGGAGGAAGACACAGAAATGCCAAGACACCAAGCCAAGTCCTGTTAGAATATCTTTCCAAAGTACCTTAGGCTTATGTACATTTTTCGGATACATATGTCTTTCCGCAGCACTAAGTCCTGATGAATCCAAATTTAGAAAGTTTAGAGTAAAAAGGGTTATTTTAAGTTTATCTTTGGGGGATATATACCCCTTTCCAGCCACCCTTTTACTTTCCGGGCTCCCCATCACCTCTACACACTGAACATTTGAGTTTTGCCATATTTGGTCCCCAAATATCTCCATCCAGTGAAATTCAACTTTTTCTGATGGAATTGTTCTTAAAGCAGAAGTATTGCTTTCTGCCAACCCGAGTGCCAGCTATTTCTAGAAGGTTTCCTGTGTTTCAGCCACCCCATCCCAGAAATGACCTCTGTCCCCTTGGGTTCCCTAGTACCACTGGTATCACAGAACATATATGTCATTGCTTTGTGTCTTGACTGCCTCCTCCTGTCCCAGACTGGAGCCCACCAGGGGATGATATCTTATTCATTTTCATGATTCCTAATTCTCTAAATGTAGTTTAAATGCTAGCACCCTGACTTCTAGTCTCAGCTAATTTACTTTGTGTCCTCAAATCCCTTCCTGCCCCTCCCTGGCCTCAGCTTTCTGATATAAGACATGGAGGTAATTCCCGTTGGAAGCATGCTTATCATGGCCAAGAGGAGTTGGGAGGGTGTTGCCGCCAGAACTACAGCTATCTGATAGCAGAGCCATCTGGAATTGGGGCAGATCGAGGAGTAACTGTGGGAGCTGGATAGAGGGTCCTGGAGGTGGGCCCAGGCAGCATGGAACCTCATAGCAAGGTCCAGCCAATGAGGCTTCTCTCTCCTATCCTGCATCTCCCATTGGCTTCTCCCCCAATTAGCTGTGTGACCCTGGGTCAGAGCCTGCTTTTCTCTGGGTTTAGCTGTCCCCAAATGATGATGTCTGCCTGGAGAACAGGCTAGGATATCCCATCCTATTCCACAAAGGCCAGAAGCACAAGGAGAGGAGTTGTGTAGAGGGCACAGGAGGAGAAGGAGAAGGGGGCTGGAAATCAGAAGCCATCTGCAAGGGACTTACCAACAACCTCCCCAGGCAGCCAGGCCCTGTGTTCCAATAGAGATGGGGGTAAGAGGACAAGGTACCTTCCTTGCACTTGCTGAGATCTCAGTGCTGTGTCCCCTCCTTTTTTCCACACCCAAGAGAAAATGGAGCAGGATCTTGGCCTGTGGAAAGGCTGGGACACTGCTGAAGGCTTGGGTCCACTGAGTCAGGACTAAAAAGTCTCAACTAGGAGTGACCATATGCAGATCTCAAGGAAATTCATGGACTTTGTGTCCTGTTTGAGAGCCCAGAAAGAATGTTTGGGACCAAGGGAAGTTTCAGAGGGTTAGGTGTAAGGTGATTGCAGGTGCTCCATCCCACAGTCAGGGATACACAATGTAAACAGTGGGTTTCCCAGGAAACAGCACGCATCCCAGATTGGGGTGTGCAGATGGAGCCCAATGTTCACCTGCTGGCAGGGGAGGAATTGGGACACCTCTGATTCTGTGCCTTCTGCATGAGGATTGCTAGAAACAATCCTGGAAGAGGCCCTGAGGCAGTAAGAAGATTGAGATCCCCAAAGGTGCAACTAGTCACCACCTGCCCTGACCCAGTAGTTCTGCACCCCGCTTCCTCATTTCTGCACCGAATATTCTCTCCCTCTTACCCCTTTTCTCATGAGGACCTCAGAGTAAAGCCTGAAAATGTATTCTCTCTGAGGATCACTTATAACAAAATAAGATCAGGTATTATTCTCCAGTGGTGGAATTCTTGGCAGAGAAAAGAGATTTTTTTTCCATACAGAGTGACTGCTGTGAACATGCACATCACACTCTGTGGGAGGTTGCCTGTCCAGGGCTGAGCATCCTCTCTCAGCCTTGAGTAAGGGAGGTGTTTGGTTTGGCATCGCATGCCACACACTGTGCAAAACAAGTGGCCTTCACCTTCGCTCAGCAAAGAGGTTTGCCTCAGCTCTGGATCTGAGTGTTACCCAATGGGGTTGGACAACCCTCCTTTGAAATCTTATCCCCTGCCTTATTTGGTGAAGAACATTCCATCAAAACTCCTTTGTGTGCCCCCCCCCCATAAAAAATAGATTCCAGGTGCACGCTCTCTTTTCAGCGTCTTCCAGCATGGAAGCTGACCCTTAAAGTCGAAGGGCCTTCTTACCCTTGATATGAAAATTACTTCTGTGTTCTGTGCTTTCTCATCGTTTTCTCAGCTTAATGTTGCAGCCAGCTCTTTTGAACCCAGCTCTCTTCAGCAAGGGTTGCTGGCGAGAACACTCCACAGAGTGAAGGGTGGCAGCAGCCCTGCCCACAGCAAAGCCATTCCTGCATTTTCTCCTGAGTGAGCCCTAGAGAAGAATTCGACTTTTCTCAGAGCCCGAGGGTCAAGGGAATTGAGGGGGTTTTTCTGAGACCCCTGGAGAAGGTTCAGAGAGTGAAGTGGGGGAGTCAAGCCTTGTCAGACCTTTGGGAAGAGAGAGAGCAGGAAGAGGAATCAGGCTGGGAAGTAAGGTCAACATGGAGAAGGCTCTGTCTTGGCCTGGGCTGGGATAGCTGGTGAGTTTAGGTACACAGCACTTAAGACAGTGAGAGGGAACAAATATACTTAGGGCCAGACCCACTACTCCCTGTGGGAACTACTTACTATACATCTGTCTTTTGCAGGGAGTGCACACATGCGTGTAAACACATGCACACACAAAGATACACAAGAAGAAAGAAAATCCACAGGCACATACCCACACCACAAGAACATAGTTACATATTCATTTTGAATCCATATATACTGTGCATAGCTCACACAGTAATACAAGCAGGCATATCAACACAGACATGCACACAGACTCCACAGGCTAACACACAATCACATCCACATACCTACCAGTGCTGGTGACAAGCCCTGACAGATGTCCCTTACCTGGCATACTTTGTTCCATCTAATCAGTGCACCAAGGGCACAAAGTTAGGGATTTTTTTTTTTTTTGGGTGTACCTAGACCTATTGGTACAGCTCAAGCTGCATCACATCAGCATTGTTGGTGTGTGACCGGGTCAGAAGTCCATTGTGGGGCAAGATTTCAGGAGTTCTAAAATAGATTGTCATCCTCCACGTCCTCAAACAAATCACCACCTCATTTCCCAGGGGACTAAGTAAGCTCAGAGTCCTTCCTGACAGTGGGGAATCTGGGGCCTTGGAAAGAGAGAACTGAAGGCACCAGAGCTGAATGAGATGGAGGAGGAAAGGCAGAGGTGGAAGAGCACCAGAGGCAACTCAGGCAGCATCAAACAGCAGCTGGGCTCACAACCTATGCACCATGAGTAGGCCACACAAAGCTCAGGGGAAGAGAAGAAAAGAGTGGGTAGAATTCTCACTGTGGCTCAGTTCATTAGCCATTCATTCAAAATAGTACTTAGTAAGAAATTGAGATAGATAGATGATAGATAGATAGATAGATAGAAAGAAAGAAAGAAAGAAAGAAAGAAAGAAAGAAAGAAAGAAAGAAAGAAAGAAAGAAAAGAAAATAGGAAGAGGAAGAAAAGGAAGAGGAGGAAGAGGTAAAGAACAAAACATAAGAGGAAGACAGTACAAGAAGTACTTAGTGAAACTTTACTGCATCATGAGCAGCACTGATAGCAACACGGAGGATAGAGATTTTTCACATGGTGAAGTCCCTGTTCTTGCAGTACCCAATCATCTAATGCTACCCTTCATTCAATCCTCCTAGATGATTCATTTCCTGTGTCCCAGGTTCTTTGTTTGGTCGTAAAAGACAGAAATTTCAAGATGTGGCCAAGCTGTGGTGGTTCTATGAGGTAGGGGAAATGGCGAGAATTTTAGAAGCTCAGGAAAGAGAGTGCCATTGTGGTCTTGGGGGCTTCCTAGAGAAAGGTTTCTCAGGGGACCTGTCAGAGGGCAGGAAAATGGCAACCATGGGAGCTGTGAAGAGAAAAGCATCCGGGTGGGGAATATTCATCAGGAATCTTTAAGTTGCAACAAAACAACATGAGTCCACACTGGGAAGGGCTTTATTGGTTCATGCAACTGTCAAAATCTCAGGTTTGGCATGAGTGTCAGCCTGCCTTGATTCTGAGGCACAGATACTGTCCCCAGGCTCTGCTCACTCACTTGTGCTATTCCTTTCATCTTCCAAAGTTCAGATGATGAAGGAGAAGTTCCAGACTTCATACCCCCTAATCATCAGTTTCATACTTTGTTTCTAGCATGTTCTAGCTGCATCATATTTTACTGGCTCTTCCTAGGTCATATGCCCATCCCTGAATGATGCACCAAGGCAAGGGAAATGGAAGGCTGTAACTGGTCTCTATATTGTAAGCTTAGTGGTACCATAACAAAATGCCTGAGCTAATGAGCTTAAAAAGAGAAAATGTTTATTTTGACTCCTAATTTGGGGATTCTAGTCCAAGATCAGGCAGAACATTACTCTGGGCCTGTTGTGGGCCAGAGTAATGATGGAGAGTAGATAGCACAGCAACTTGCTCTCCCTATGATCTAGGAAGGTAAAAAAGGACAGAGAGAGAGAAAGAAGGCCAAGGTCTCACAATTCCCTTCAAGGGCACATCTCCATCACATAAGTGCCTCCCACTAGGCCCCATCTCTTACAGGCTCCACCACTCTCAATAGCGCCACCTTGGGGACAAAGCCTTAAATACACGGGCCTTTGGGGAACACTTATCCAAACCATAGCAGTTTATGCCCTATGTTGTACCCAACCTCCACCCAAAGCACAGGGCAGAATGACAAAGTTTCTGGACTTGATTGTTTAGGCCCCAGGGAGACCGAAAGGCTCCTGAGACAGGGCAGGAAGAGGGTGTGTTCACTGTGTTTCCTCCTGTAGATTGTGCATGTTCCTGGGCTGTTCCCTGGGAGGAGCATCCGCAGCCTCTTCTGATGGCCAGACCCTGGAGCTGCCATCAAGGTTACAAGGATCTTTTCCCAACTGAGATACAGAAAACAAGGCACTCTGGTGGGTGGAGGACCTCTGGCTTTTCTTCTCCAGCAGTGCCACAAAAAAAAAAAAAAAAAAAAAAAAAAACCCTCTATGCACACATCCCAAAGATATTTCCCGAATACCTTCTACACTCCAGGTCCTATGCTGGAGGCTTTGGAAGAACAGTGAGCTGTGCACCAAGATCCTCACCCTGTGGAGCTCACCTGCAATAACGGGATTGAGGACTATGTTTGTCAGCTGTGCATTGCTGTGACAAAATACCTGAAAAAAAATAAACTTAAAGAAAGAAATGTTTATTTTGGTTCACAGTTCAGAGGTTTCAGTCCATGGTTTATCACTCTGGGCCTTGGTGAGGCACAGCATTATTGTAGAGAGGGTGTTGTGGAGAAAAGCTGCTCTCCCCATGGCATCCAGGAAGAAGGAGAGAGGAAAAAAAGGGCTAAACCAGGAATAAAATATAGTCCCCAAGGGCACGGCACCAGGGACCCACTCCCTTCAATCAGGTCCCACCTCCTACAGTTTTTGCCACCTCCCAATAGTCCATTCAAATTATGAATCCCTCAATTAATTAACCTACTGATGAGGTCAGAGCCCTCATAATCCAATCATTTCCTAAAAGACCTACCTTTGAACATTGCTGCACTGGGGACCATGCACTAGGGATATGAGCCTTTAGGGGTCACTGAAAATCCAAACCATAATAGGGACAATAACCAATAAACATAAAAATAAGAGAAATATATAGAATATGAGAGAGTAGTAAGTGCTATTGAAAAAAACAAAAACAAAAACAAAAAGGAGAGCCGAGGGAGGAAGATTAGAAACAACAGATTGTGCATTAAATATTGTGAACATCTGATAGAGAAAATGGGAGCTGAGTCAAGAGCTGACGAGGTGAGAGAATGAGCCAAGCTCTTCCTAGGGGGAGAGTATTCCAGGAAGATGGCACAGAGGAATCTCCTTAAAGGGATATGCCTGGAATGTCTGGAGACAGCACTGGAGGCCAGTGTGTCCAGAGCAGAGTGAGCAGGAGGGAGTGGGCTGGAGATGAGGGCAGAGGCTGGGAAACAGATCACAGAGCCCTCTAAGGAGCACTGTAAGGACTTGAGCTGCTACTCTGAGGGCGAAGAAAGGACAGCCAAGAGTGTCATGATCACTCTGACTGTTGGAGGCACATTAAGCAACAGAAGTACACGATGATTGGAACACAGAGATCAGTTGGGAAACTATTGCAGCAATTCAGGTGAGAGTGTGTGGTCCTGAAAGCTAGTGAAGAAAATGAAGGAAGAAACAAGGAGAGAGAAGGTGATGCTGATGGTTGGGAATAAAAAAGTGACCACTGGGTTTAGCAGCATGGTCACTGAGATCCTCAGAGGGATTGCTTCAGGCAGAAGCCCAACTGAGTAGGCGTCATCTTCTCTCTCCAGACTGTGGTATGGCCACTCAGGCTGAACTATTCCCCTCAGTCCCCTTGTTAATGGCTCCTTCAGTCTGCCTCTCCCCAGGGTCTTTCATGTCAGTCATTTCTTCTTGGTTAGTAAGCCTGCTGCTCTCAGAACAGTTGGACAATGAGGCCTGGGCAGTACCAGGTACCAGACGCCGCCTGAGCATAGCAGCCAGGAAAGCCTTCAGGTACCTGCGGAAACGGCGACTGGAGAAGGCATAGAGGACAGGGGTAAAACAGCAGTGAAGAAAGGCAAGGCTCTCTGTCACCTGAAGTGCATAGTCCAGACGGTGGCTGACATGGCAGTCCCCAAAGATATGCAGGTCCAGCAGTGAGTGCAGAAACAAGGTGAGGTTGTATGGGAACCATAGCAAGAAGAAAGCCAGTACTAATGATGCAGCTATTCTTAGAGCCCGGCCCTGGCCTGGGGGCTTCAGCTTGACCAGGACACAACCAATGCGGGAGTAGAAGAAGATCATGGTCAAAAGTGGAAGGAGAAACCCCAGGAGATTCTGTTGGAAGCGGAGGAAGAGCTTCCAAATGGTCCCGTGTCCACCAAAATCCGCGTAGCAGTTCCACACACCCTTGGGGTTTTCATGTATCTGCACAAAGACCATGTCAGGGATGGAGATGGCCAGGGCCACGGCCCACACTATGGCAGCAAGCAGCAGACTTTTGGCCCGAGTCCTCAGCCTGTGGAGGGGCTGAGCATGAACAATCTCCAGGTACTTGTCCAGGCTCATGCAGCTGATGAAAAAGATGCCACTGTAAAAGTTAATGGTATACAGGGTGCTCATCATCTTGCATAAGAAACTGCCAAAGACCCAATGCCAAGCCACGGAGATGCCCCAGAAGGGCAAAGTCACCACAAACAGGAGGTTGGAGATGGCCAGGTTCAGAAGGTAGACCTCAGTCATCCGCCTGCAAGGCACGTAACGGAGTAAGACCACGAGAAGGAGGAGGTTCCCGGTCAGGCCCAACACAAAAATCAGGCTGTAGAAGACTGGCAGGAAGACTCTACTAAAGGACAGGACATCATCCTTCCTGCAGAGCAAGAAAGCCACCTCATCTAGGTAGTAGTAGTCATAGAAGGAACTGTTCTCAGAACTGGCATCCTCGGTGGCGAGTGGCAGAGGGGAGATGGCGGTGGCCATGTTGAGAAGACACACTCAGTACTGAAGTTCTGTGGTGCTGTGAGAGAAAAATATGGTGAGACTTTACATGCCCTGCCTCTCTCCAAACCCACTTTGGCTATTGCCCTGGAATGTCTAATAGACTCTTCAAATCTAGGGCAGAACCTGCAAATAAGAGCTCATGCTTAGGAAGCCCAGCCCTACCACTTACCATTGTGTCACCTTGGATAAGTGTCTTAATCATTAAGGTGTTGGTAAAGTATTCAGTTCTTTCATTGTGGTCTCACTGCTTTATTTTTCTCCCTCATCATTTAAAATGATTTATAATGTCTTTCAGATTTTCCTTTATTGTTTAGGGATACCAATTCACCAATTTATTGTGTCTCCTGAATCTTCCTCATGCACATAATTATGCTTCCTTCTTTGGCTTATAGTTTTTTATAATGAGAGCTTCCCTTCAATGGGATTTCTCTTATCTATAAATGTACATCATGTCCACTCTGTTTTGGGGTTTTCTTCATTTTTAGCAAGTAAGGAATTCCTTTGCTCTTGATAGTTTTAAAATATTTAATTTATAAATATTTAATTTTGTATCAATAGTTTCACTTATAAACAATTAATATTTTAAAGAGTTTATCCAATATTTCTATGTATAAGAGAAAGTGTGATCCCTCATGTTAAAGAACCCAGAACCAAGTAACACTTATCATCCCTCAGTTTCCTCACTTTTAAAATGACATAATAGCTAAATTATGGAATCAACATAGATGCCCTTCAGTAGATGAATGGAGAGGGAAACTTTGGTATATACCCAATGGAATATTCTCAGCATTAAAAGAGAATATAATTATGACATTTGCAGGTAAATGGATGAAGTTGGAGAATATAATGCTAAGTGAAGGAAGACAATCCCAAAAAAACAGAGGCCAAAAGTTTTCTTTGATATGAGCATGCTGACTCATAATGACAACTAGCAGGGAGCATGGGAGGAATGAGGAACTTTAGACAGGGCAAAGGGGAGGGAGGGGAAAGGAGGAGGCAAAGGGGGTTAGGAATGATGGTGGAATGAGTTAGATATCATTACCCTAAGTACATGTATAAAGACACAAATGGTGTGAAAATACTTTGTGTACAATCAGTGTCTTGCAAATTTGTACTCTATGTGTAATATGAAATGAATTGAATTCTGCCATCATGTATGACAAATTAGAATAAATTTTTTAAATTAAATTAAAAAAAACTTAACACCAAAAAAAAAAACCAAATAACCCAATCAATAAATGGGCTAAGGAACCAAACAGACACTTCACAGAAGAAGAAATAAGATCAATCAACAAATATATGAAAAAGTGTTCAGCATCACTATCAATTTTAGAGAAATGTAAATGAAAACTACTCTAAGATTTCATCTCACCTCAGTAAGAATAGCAATTATCAAGAATATAACAACAATAAATGTTGGTGAGGATGTGAGGGAAAAGGCACACTCATACATTGCTGGTTGGATTGCAAATTGATGCAACCATTAAGTTTTCTCAGAAAACTTAGAATGGAACCACCATTTGACCCAGCAATTATCCTTGGTTTAAATCCAAAGGACTTAAAATCAGCATACTACAGTGATGCAGCCACATCAGTGTTTATACCAACTCACAATAACTAAACTATGGAACCAACCTAGGTGTCCTTCAACAGATGAATGGATAAAGAAAATGTGATACACACACACACACACACAATGGAATATTGCTCAGCCTTAAAGAAGGAAGAAATTATGGCATCTACTGGTAAATGAATGGAGCTGGAGAATATCATGCTAAATGAAATACACCAATCCCAAAATAACAAAGGCCAAATGTTTTCTCTGATAAGAGGATGCTAATTTACAATAAGGAGGGGGGCCTAGGGAAAAAATAGTTACTTTAGATTAGGTAGAGGGGAGTGAAGGGAGGGGAGGGAGTATGGGGGTAGAAAGGATAGTAGAATGAATTAAACATTATTACCCTATGTACATATATAACTGTATGACCTGTGTGATTCTACATCGTGTACAACCAAAAGAATGAGAAATCATATTCCATCTATGTATGATATATAAAAGTGCATTCTACTGGCATGTAACTAATTAGAACAACAACAACAAAAAGTCATTAGGGTGAAGCCCGCATGACCGGATCTTGGGGGTTTAATTAGAAGAGAGAGCAAAACCAGACAGACATTAGGCAATCCTTGCCTCTTGCTATATGACACTCTGTATCATCTCAGGACTCAGTCAGCAAGAAGTCAATGAGGTTCTTAGATCTCATATCACCAGAACTATGAGCCAAAATAAACCTGTAAAAAAATAAAATAAAATAAATAGCTCTTAGCTGGATTCTCAGAGAGGTTTGTCTCTGGGCCTCCTGGGATGCTCTGGGTGTTGGGGGTAGTGGATCTCAGTTACTACCTATTGTGCGTCCTCTCATGTCACACCAAATGAACAGAGCAGAATATGCTGTGCCTGGAGCTTCTTGCTGGACAGGTTGAGAGAATGCTGACTGCACCAGGGCTGGAGTCCCTCCGGAGGTTTTTAGTATGGGTCCCCCAGGGTGTGGGGAGCCTTGTCAATTTTCATCAGATTCTCTTCCAAGTTTCAGTGTATGTAGGCAAGTCTGAGGTTTCCAGTGTGTGCCCCCGAGGCCTGGCAATCATCCAAGTGTCCCCAGCATGCCTCAGATTTGGAGGAGCCAACCACTGTTCCGCACTAGAAAGTGAAGGGTTGCAGAAACTGGTCATTTGCGAGCCTCTGTCCTGGAGCCTCCAGACTTGATCCCAGTGCAAAACCACTACACCTATTGTCACTCTTGTCACAGTGGGTGGGATCACTGACCTTGTTCCCTCCATTGCTCTTCGTATCACAGCCCTTGCTGCCCCAGGGTTCTTGTCAGATATCCCTCAATCTCCAGGCCACCACTGCCTCAAGTACCCTCTCCCACCCAATCAGGTCCTCTGAATTGTGAGTATTCTAGATTTTCTGACCCCAGAGCAATTTAGTTGAGATGGCTCCTGATTCTAGGTCTTGAGTATCTGCTGAACCATGTAGTGAATCTGTTCTCTAAAGCAAGCTTGTTCAGGAGTTGCATTTAGATCAAAACCCTTAAAGCATGTAAGGATCATGAATTTACTTCTCTTACAATTAGGACTGCAGGATGCCATTATTACCATGGCCACTTGCACTTTACAGTTTTGGTTATGTTCCACACCCTTCGGTTCCCTGCCCCCAGCTGAGAGCAGGGGTTGAGGTTGCAAATTGCTTTGCCCATTTCTCTAGATGGCCTTTCCGATTTTCTGTGCTGTTTAGGTTTCTCGTGGCTACTTTATCAGTTCTCAGAGTTCTTCTTCGCTCTCCTTGGAATATACTTTCTCCTTTGCTGCCCTGAATCTTTTCTCCTGTGGAGTCCAGTGAAGGGTACTTCTCTTCCACCATCTTCTAATGAGAATCCTTCTTTGAACATTTAAAAAAAATATATACAGCACACCATAATTATCTATATTCACTCTACTGTGCAATAGCAGGCAGAACTTCTTACTCCTAACTTAGTATCCACTGATAAACCTCGCCCCAGCCCTCTCTCTTCCCCCTCTCTCCAGCTTCTGGTGACCACTATTTAACTCTCAACCTTCATGAGATCCACTTTTTTACATTTCACATTTGAGTGCATCATGGTATTTCTATTTCCAGTTTTTCAAAAAACCTCCATACTGTTTTTGATAAGTGCTGTACTAATTTACATTCCCTCAGCCATGTATAAGAGTTCCCCTTTCTCTGCATCCTCACCAGCATTTGGTATTTGTCTTTCTTATATTAACCATTCTTACTGGGGTGAGGTGATATTGTATTGTGGTTTTGATTTACATTTTCCTGATGATTAGTGATGTTGAAATTTTTTTCATATACCTTTTGGCCATTTGTACAGGTTCTTTTGATAAATGTCTATTCAGATTATTTGCTCATTTTAAAATCAGATTGTTTGGGGGCTTTTTGCTATTGGGTTGTTTGAGTTCCTTATAAACTCTCGATATTAATCACTTATCAGATGGATAGTTTGCAAATATTTTTTACTCTATTGAGTGTCTCTTTTGCTTTGCAGAAGATTTTGTTTGCAATAAGTCCATTTGTCTAGTTTCACTTTTATTGCCTTTGCATTGGAGGTAATATCCAAAAAATCTTTGCCCAGACCTATGTCCTGAAGACTGAAAGTAATTTAAAAAAAAAAAAAACCTCATATGAACCAGGGATACAAGTCTGTCATAAACCAAGAATTATTGAGCACATTAGATTGTCCACCAATGGCGAAGGGGCTTTGGGGAGAAAAGAGGAAGAAGTTAAAAAGGTGCATAGGACCCAAGAGACAATTATGGAGAGTCACTAACGCGGGCCCCGAGAGCTGATGATGATAATGCAAATCAACTCTACTCTGTACCTCTGCATTTTATTTCATATTCTTTTATTTAATCTGTAGTTGAAATTTTTAATACGTTAAATGCCAGTTTGTATTTTTCTGTGAATTATTTATGGTTTCAAAGGGTGGGGCTCTCATTTTATAAGAGGTCTTATGTAGTATGGATTTTTGTTTTCTTCATGTGCAATGCAAATATTTTCCCTAGTCCTTTCTGGAAGAAATTTTGCCCTTTTTTTGGCAGGGGGTGGGGTACCAGGGATTGAACCCAAGGCACTTAACCACTGAACCACATCCCCAGGTCTTTTTGTTTTTTATTTTATTTTATTATTTTTTTTAAGGAAGAGAACTTCTTTGTTTTTTTTTTTTTTGAGAGAGAGAGAGAGAATTTTAATATTTATTTTTTAGTTATCAGCGGACACAACATCTTTCTTTGTATGTGGTGCTGAGGATCGAACCCAAGACGCATGCATGCTAGGCGAGCGTGCTACCACTTGCGCCGCATCCCCAGCCCTCTTTTTGTTTTTTATTTTGAGACAGGGTTTCACTAAGTTGCTTAGGGCCTTGCTAAGTTGCTGAGGATGACTTTGAACTTTTGATCTTCCTGCCTCAGTCTCCT